TCCCCACCCCCAATCGACTACTTGTTGTCCACACTACCTGCGTGAAGTGACCTATTTGCAAGGAAAACATTTTCATCGGCATGTATATTTTTTGTGCGGAAAATAGGGCTGCAAAGCACTGACCAGTATTGCCTGACCAGCCCCCAGAGTTGAAATTGTAATTCTTGATTTCGTTGTACCAACATTCAACAACATCTTTGGGCTCGATATGAGCTCCTCCGGATGCCCCATACATGAATATATTTTCCCCGTATTGTTTTCCTTCATCTCGACCTGCGCCTTGTCGGTGCTTCAGTTGATTCCATTGCGCCAGTTGCTCTGCCCATGCCTGGCTGTATTTGCACATCTAAATAGCAATTTTGCAATATGAATATTTTTGCTTTCATTTCATTTATTTAGGGGAAGTGAGGTCGATGTCTGATCATTCTCCTGGTGAAATATCGGTCTGAACGTACTTCTTATACATATTCAAAGTATATGTTATCATATGTCAATTCCTGGCTTCTCATGTTTAAATGTTTTTATATCGGATCATTTAATACCTATTCACATTTGGGAAGGAGCTTGATGAATCGCAGTTCAGATGAATTTCATGTCATTTTCTAATCCAAATTTGCATGACATGAAACGTGACATGTTGTTTGCAAAGTTCAATATTCCGGTATATTCAGAATTTGCAAGCGAATGATTGCATCTCATAATGCAATACAGTATCATCTCTCTTAGAAATAGAGACATGAAATCCTTCCATTCTAGTTGGATATATGGTTGAAAAAAGACATTCGCCGTAATAAAAAAGTTAACTATAAGGGGTGCTGCATTTCTTCCATTTCTTGAACTATTATGTATCAGCATCGGGCAGGAAAGTTGAGCATCATTCGTATATTTAGTATATGAACTGGAGTAAGCTGAACCAGGTTACAAGCAATGGTTCTGAGGGTTAACTGAAATATTAAGGGAGAAAAAATGCGCAATTTTTCCACATGGAATTGTTTATTTCAATATCTTTTTTCAAAATGAAACGTATTTGATTAGTTCCACATAATTCTATTCGCAATATTCCTTATAATATTGATTTGTATTCATTTCTTTTTAAGTTATTTATAGTTTGAAAACCCTATAGGGTTGGGGGCTCACCTCCTTGTCAAGGGAAAGCGGGGAAGAACCATGCATCTCCCGGTACTTGTTGTGGAGCTGTAGAACCTCTTCGGCGAAA